GTGTGTGTACCTGTGTGTGTACCTGTGTGTGTACCTGTGTGTGTACCTGTGTGTGTACCGGTGTGTGTAGCGGTGTGTGTACCTGGGTGTGTACCTGTGTGTGTACCTGTTTGTGTACCGGTGTGTGTAGCGGTGTGTGGACCTGTGTGTGTACCTGTTTGTGTACCGGTGTGTGTAGCGGTGTGTGTACCTGGGTGTGTACCTGTGTGTGTACCTGTTTGTGTACCGGTGTGTGTACCTGGGTGTGTAGCAGTGTGTGTACCTGTGTGTGTACCGGTGTGTGTACCTGTGTGTGTAGCGGTGTGTGTGGTTGTCCTGGTTCTGTGCTGCAGGCTGATAGACTGGGTCAGGGATCCTTTCTGTGGGGAGAACCGAGGCAGCTCTGTCAGCTCCACATACTCCCCCTCAGAGTCTTCATCATCAACACTTGCTTTTGATTGGTCGGGTCTGATTGGGAGAGGGAGGAGCTTCACGTCCTTCTCTGAGGGGTTTGGATCATTCTTGTCCTTCACAGAGGACTCCCCCTCTGGGTTTGAGGTGGTCCGTGGCTGATTGATGAACTGAGGGTAAACCACGTCCTCCCAGGGGACCCTGAAGACGTCTCCGTGGACAGAGAGGATGCACCGCTCCAGCTTGGAGACCCCTCGTCGCTCTCTCTCCCTGTTCACAGAGTCCAGCCATGCCATGCTAAAGAGCGACGTCAGAGCCTCGACCGGCACCTCCTGCTGCTGGACATGACGACTGCCTGCAGAAACGCTGCACAGGAGCAGACGGGGGTTGGTGGAGATGCTGTTCCTGCAGGAGATGCTGTTCCTGCAGGAGGTGCTGTTCCTGCAGGAGGTGCTGTTCCTGCAGGAGGTGCTGTTCCTGCAGGAGGTGCTGTGTGCTGCAGAAGCAGCAGGAGAAACCAGCAGGTAAAAGTCTCCTGGATGGAGGAGGTGCTGGTCCAAAGGACAAAGCTGAACAACTATCTTCTCATGGATGCAGAGAGGCCAGCCTTCATGGCGGAACAGCAGACCAGAGAACGGAGACTGGAGGAGGAAACAGAAGAAAGATATTTAGTTAGAATGCTTCTATAAAAGAAAATAAATCTAGAAGCTGAAGGTTGTGCTGCCTGGATCTGTCTGATGGACGGACGGATACAGGAGGACAGCGTCTCCGAGCAACAACCAGTCTGACTTTATGCCTTCAATAAATTGACAGAGCAACACCAAGCAGAGTTGACCTTTGAAGTGGACATCTGTCCCCTGGGTGAGGACGCAGGTCATCTGAGGTCACCTCCACCATCTCTCAACATCTGGACTGAAATCTTTCTCCATTACACTTTAAAACTTTTCTAGCTCAGATGCAGACTTTGACAAAGCTGCTGGAATTCATGAACCTGCGTTGATCTAAGCAACCTTATTCTTTGTGTGTGTTGTCATCTATGTTCCTCAGGCAGCAGAAAGAAAACATGGCTGCTGCGTCTGTCTTCCTTTGCAGAAATGTTGTTTCTGCCAATAGGAGGCTTGTTTTCACTGACAGAAAGAGACGTGGTGCTCTCAGCCAGATTATTCTAACTTCTTGTATAAATGTGTTTTCTTTTCAGTCATCCTAAAATCAGAGTCAAAGTCAGGAAGATGAAACTTTCCTGATCAGTGAAATCCTGCCAGGCTCATAGTGAGCAGGGTGCAGCTAGTGTGCTGCTGGAAGTTACTCACAATCAGCTCTGTGATTAAACTTGGTGAGGACACCTGCAGTCTTTTACATTTTGCTGAAAATGAGCAGAAAACCTAAATCTGAAATCAAAATATCAATTTAATGTTTTGCTATTGAGAATAAAATACACTAATATCTATAATTACAGAAACACAAATGAATTTTAGTGCCTCATTTATATCCATCCATACAAATAGTTTTTCAAAAAGAGAAAATCAATCGTTCAGTTTGGTTTATAGATAATTTCCTGATTCCCATATTTTCTCAAACCCCTGAACTGATGGTTTGTTCTTTTCTTTCTTTTTTCTGTCTTTTTTCGGCATATCGACACATGGCGAGAAACTTAAAGCATGCTTTCCCACCGCCTGCCATCCATGGTCCATCAGTTCCAGGTCAGTTATCTGATGGTCGACATCCGTTCGGTCTAAGTTCCTCATCAGTCGTGGCGTCTAGCTGATCCTAAACCTCTGACTAACTTCTGAGTAACTTATCCAGAACTTCTCTCCAACATATCAGCGTATCTGCCGTGTTCCAGACGAGCGCTGAACGGAGGAGGAAACCGTCAGTTCTCCTCCAGACTTCATCTTCATAGAAAGTTCATCGTACGTCAGCGTTTTAGGAGATTCTGGGACGTCAGGCATACGCTGGATAAATCGGCAAGGTGTGACGGGAGCCTAAGTTTAGATTTCTCTTGTCTCACATATTTAGTTTTGCTATTTATTCGGTGAAAAAGGTTTTTACTCTGTTTCACCTGCAAGGCCACAGAATGTCTGAGTGTTTTGCATTTACATGGAATACTTATTCCATAACAAACCAAATTCTGTCTCAAGAATCGTTATTGTTTAACCAAAGTCTGAGTCATTTGTTTCGACTCTGACAGAATCTTCCGGCTTTTTCCTCGTTAAAAGCAAAGGAGAAAAACTCTGTCTAGATCAGAACAGGGCTGATTACTGCGTCATATGATCGACTGTTCTCTGTTTGCAAAGATATGAAAATAAAGTACAGACTGAGTGAAATCCATCGATCTCCGTTTGAATGGTTGAAGACTTTTTCCCCACTTCAGCTGCATATGTCAAACAGAAGCTGAATGCAGAGCAGCGTAGGAAGAAAACACCTTCAGCATCAACGCTAAACCTTCTATGATCAGAACCTGAGAGGCCTTAATCACCAACTGATCAATTCAGGGGGTGATGTAAACATCGCTAGTGACGGTCTGCTAAGCGACGCTAAACTACAAACACAAACTTTCCAATCAGGGTGAGAAAACTACGACTGGTCACTACCGTGTAACGGAGCACCATTAGACCTAAAGACGTGAGCAGACAGGAGGACACCCAGGACACTGGGACAGCTCTTCAGGAACTTACGCAGGCATCCTGCTGGAGGTTCTGCAGTAGGTTCTTTGCAGGAAGCAGGAAGTGGATGAGGTAGCGAAGGCCGTCTCCTCTGAAGCAGCTGTCCACTACGCTGAGGACCTGACACAGAAGGGTGGGAGACGTGGCGTGGAAGGGCGGGTAGAGGCCTGCCAGAGCTTTCTGGATGCAGCGATCCAAAGACTCAGAGTCCTGGAAGCAGACAGGGAGATAAACACGGGTTCAGTCGGACTCTGACTCCAAACACACCTGGTTTCAACTGGAATGGTCAGAGCATGCCCAAGGTGACCGCTTCTGATCAGAACCAACCAGCAGGTATCAGCTGGAACCCTGAGCTCCACCAGACCAGCCCCCCCCCCTGAACCAGAACATCTGCCCCCAGAGTTCAGAGCCATCGATGCAGCACACTCTCCTTTATTTCACCTTTACTGAGTCAATAAAGTTTAATTTACATAAACTTAAGCCTCTACATCACAAGATTAACTCCAACATTTGAAATAAGGTGGATAAGTAGGTCATTAAAACAGTCTGAACAAAAACACAACCTCGCTTCTCCAAGAAGATTAATGTGAAATATAGTTTAAAATAATTCTGAAATATAAAGCAGAGCTTCATCTGTTCTAAACGTCAATCATCTCCATCAACCAGCAGCTAGATCTGCTTACATAGAGACGAGTTCTTTCCTTAATCACAGAGAACACATAGACATACACGGCCACAGACACACACACCAGACACACACACCATAGACACACACACCATAGACATACACACCATAGACACACACGCCAGACACACACGCCATAGACACACACACCATAGACACACACACCACAGACATACACACCATAGACACAAAGTTAACTTAAATGAAAAGTTACTTCAGGAAAATGTAACCAGAATATACATTTTTACATAAATTGCTTGATCATCTATTAAAAACTGCTCAGTAGTTTATTTTCCTTTTTCTTCTTGTTAACAGCTTAACTTTTAATTTGATTATTTAATCTAGAATCTGCTGGTTTTCTGTGTCTTTCTTTGTTATGGAACAACGGAAGTATTTCTGTTTTATTCTATAACAAACCGGATAGTTTCTATCAATGAAAGGTCTACTGTGTGAACTCGTCTTAGCATCAAATTGAGGACATGTTTTTCCATCTCCGATGGATCGCTCCGATGCGATCGACCTGCCGCTCCGATGCTATCTACCTGCCGCTCCGATGCGATCTACCTGCCGCTCCGATGCTATCTACCTACCGCTCCGATGCGATC